AAGAAACTCTATTCCGACCAAGATAATAACAATAGTATATCAACTTTACCATGAGTACTTTAACCTGAAGTAGGGTAATCAAAGCTTGGAAGAATATTATGCAAGCATGAGAAACTTTCGTAATAAGCTTAATGTGTATCATGCTTCGACTCCGAATGTTCAAGTTCAGCAACAACAACGAGAGCAACTTGATGTGACAAGATTTCTAATGGGTTTAAAGGCTGAATATGAACGTGTTCGAGTACAAATATTGGGTGAGTCTGCTTTCCCCTTTCTTGAGGAAGTGTTTTCCCATCTTCAGAGAATTTCTTTTGATCCTACAGAATCATCTTCTTTCTCGGATAGGTCTGGTATTGTGGTGACAAGAGGGGAAGGTCATGGAAATAGAAGTGGTGGAGGTGGGCATGGATTTTCAAGGAACCAAGGTGGTCCTATGTTTAATCGTACTAGTAGCCGTAGTGGAGGCCAAGAGCTAGGGGGAGGCCATGATAGAGGAAGAAGTACTGGACCTAGGAAATGCACATACTGTTAATTTTTTTTATGATTTACTTTGTCCACATAACACTTGGGCTAATCATGTTTATGATTATTAGCAGTGGTACAATGAATGAGAACCAGTAGACTGATCAGATCCCTTCCACATCCACTAATGCTTTTGGAAAGGAAATGGTGAATGTCCCACGTGAGGTATATGATAAGTTTCTTTAGACATTCTCTTAGTAGAACATAGTTACTCTTGCCTATTCAGTTATGGATTTCTTGGTTTCCAAACTCTCACATTGGATCATTGACTTTGGAGCCTCAGATCATATGTTTGGGACTCCATATAAGTTTTCTTCATTTTATCCATCTTCTATTTCTCAAACAATTACCCTTGCTAATGGTTCTACTCTCCCATTTGCGGTGTTAGTGATGTTGATCTAACCTCCTTATCATTATCCTTTGTTTTATATGTACCCATGTTCCGTTTTAATCTTATATCTGTTAGTAGGTTAATCAAGTCACTTAATTGTTCTATAACCTTTTGTCCCTCTTCTTGTGTGTTTCAGGATCTCAAGACGGGGTTGAAGATCAGTGAAAGGCATGAGGCAGGTGGATTGTATTATCTTGATGGTAGTGGCTCGAAAATAGCTCTCTAGTCATCTCTTACCCCTCTCCAGTGGCATTGTAGACTTAGTCATCTATCACTCAAGGCTTTGAAGTTGTTGGTTCCATCTTTAAGTTGTCTTCCATCGTTGGATTATGAATCGTGTCAGCTTGGGAAAAACCATAGAGTCTCTTTTAGTCCTAAAGTTGATAGTCGTGTTTTGAATCCTTTTTATTTAGTTCATTTAGATGTTTGGGGTCCAAACAAAGTAGTGTCATACAATGGTTTTAAGTATTTTTGTTAATGACTTTTCAAGAATGACATGGCTCTATCTTATGAAAGATCAAAGTGAATTGTTCTCTATTTTTCAAAAATTTTATGCTATAATATGTACTCAATTTGGAGTTCATATTAAAATTATTCGCTCAGATAATGCAAAAGAGTACACCTTAACACCATTTCAACAATACTTAGAGTGCCACAGGATAATTCATCAAATTTCTTGTTCTTATACCCCACAACATAATGGCGTGGTTGAATGGAAAAACTGACACTTACTTGAAATTGCTCGATCCATTATGTTTGATATGAATTTCCCAAAGCGTTTTTTGAGTGATGATGTCCTAACATCATGTTTCCTCATCAACTGGATGCCCATGTCCATCATTGGAAGTCAATCCACTTTTCTCAGTCTTGTTCCCTACTCTTTCTCTATTCCCTCTCACCCCTAGAGTCTTTGGTTGTGCTTGTTTAGACAAGTTAGATACTCGTTTTACCAAATGCATCTTCCTTAGATACTCCAAAACCTAAAAAGGGTATAAGTGTTATAGCCCCAGCTCTCATCAGTCATTTGTGTGCTCTGATGTCACTTTCTTTGAGTCCATTCCATTCTTCTCGAATATTGATGTCCCTCCTCCTTCTCCTATGGTTCCACTTCTAGTTCTAGTTGAAGACCCCCTTCTATGGTTCTTATTCTATCTTCATCACCACCTTCCCCAGTACAGGTTAATACTGAAATGCCACCAATCACATAAGTGTGTACTCACAGAAGAGCACCGACCCCTCCTCCAATTCAATCCTCATCAATGGATCCTATGTTTGCATCTCCTCCTTTTAACCTTTATCTTCCTATTGCATTTAGGAAGGTAAACATAGTTGTACATCTCATCATATTTCTCATTATGTTTTTGTTGTTCACCTTTTCGCTTTCCATCGCCAGCCATCCTCTATTTTCACTCCTAAGATTGTCTTAGAATCCCTTACTTCTCTAGGGTGGTGACAAGCAATGGAAGAGGAATTGTCTACTTTGCAACGCAATCACACATGGAAGCCTACCAATCTCCCTCCCGGTAAGCATGTTGTTGGATGTAAGTGGGTTTACATTGTAAAGTATCTTCCAGATGGTAGTGTGGAATGATTAAAGGCCAAGTTAGTGGCCAAAGGCTATTCTCAGTTATATGGTGTTGATTATACGGAGACATTCTCTCTTATGGTTAAGATTGGTTCAGTTCGGGTATTAATTTCATTAGCAGCAATGTATGATTGGCCTCTCTTTCAACTTGACATAAAAAATGCCTTCTTACATAGTGATTTAGTTGATGAAGTATATATGAAGCAACCACCAGGGTTTGTTGCTCAGGGGGGGTGGTAAAGTTTGTAGATTTAAGAATGTGATTTATGGACTGAAACAATCTCTACGTGTGTGGTTTGGTAGATTCAGTGAAGTAGTGAAGAACTTTGGCATTAAACAGTGTTAAGTAGACCATTATGTGTTCAACCGTGACTCAAAAGATGAGAAATCTTGTTAGTGGTGTATGTGAATGATATTGTCATAACTAACAGTGACAATAATGAGATTGATAGGTTGAAAATTTTTTTACAGGATCACTTCCACACAAAGGATATTGATAAACTAAAATACTTCATGAAGATAGAAGTTGTAAGGTCAATGCATGGAATTAACTTGTGCCAAAGGAAATATGTTATTGATTTACTTGAATAAACAATGTTGTTGGGTGCCAAGCCAGCTGAAATACCCATGGAACCGAATGTTAAGTTGAGTGTTGATGCAGGTGAAGAGTTTGATGATCCTATAACGTACAGGAGGTTGGTGGGAAAACTTAATTACTTGCTATTATTCGGCCAGATATATCATTTGTTGTAAGCATGGTGAATTAGTTTATGCAACATCATCGGGTTTCACATTGGGAAGTAGTTGTAAGAATAGTTAGGTACCTGAAGGGTGCTCTAGGTCGTGGTCTATTATACAAAAGTGGATGAACTCATGAGATAAAAGGGTACATAGATGCTAATTGGGTCGGATTTGTGTTGGATCAGAGGTCTACTACAGGATATTCTACTACAGTGGTGGCAAGGAGTAGTACATAAGCTGAATACAGGGCTATGGCTCATACTACATGTGAACTAGTGTGGTTGAAAAATCTTTTGTAGGAAATGGGCTTCTCAATTGACAGTCCCATGAGGTTGTACTGTTATAATCAAGTTGTTGTACACATTTCTTCTAATCTAGTCTTCCATGAGAGAACAAAGCATATTGAAGTCAATTACCACTTTGTCCAAGAAAAAGTGATGGAGTGATAAATACAACTCATGTGAGTTCAGGAAACCAATGTGCAGATTTGTTTACAAAGGGGTTGAGTCGGGGAAGAGTGGATTACATATGTGACAAACTGTGACTATATGATATATATTTTCCAATTTGAGGGGGAATTTAATGTTGATAGTACAAGGGTAGTTAAATTTTTTGTCTATTTAATTAAGATTGAATAGTCTGTTTTATGTGAGTTTAAGTTATGTGTCACATTCTAACACATAGAATATAAATACAAAGTGCGTCAGTTGGGAGATGTAACTTTTCTCTCACTGACGGAACCCTTTCTTCTCCCCATTATCTCTTTCTTTCTTTTTTCTTCTTCTTCTTCTCTTATATATTTAAGACCTAGAACTGAATTAGGGTTGATCGATTTATTCACACCTTCAAACCAAACATAGTCTAAATGGCCAACACTTGGCTATCTTTTTTCTCAGGAATTGGGTCGGGACATGTATAGGAACGATGTCATATGTCCTAACTCATTGTATTTAATATTCTAGAAAGATTAAAATACAATATGATATATCCGATACTAGGCATTTTTAAATTTTCAGCTTTGCATTTGATTCATCACAACTCAAAAAAGGTAAAAACAACGCCCAAACAGAAATTTGGTGCTTCACTGCGACTCCCTTGTTCAATTGCAAATGCTGGGTCATCCGGTTTTGAGCCTTTAGATCTCCATAGACGAACCATGTGGTTCGACCACCTTTCCATATAGACATGATCACATGAATGAATTGACTGCATCAACATGTAATCCTTTTGCTCTGTACTAACATATCATAGGCAGTTTGAATTCTGTATATTGTAACGGCTATACCTTCCAATTGCCACGTGTCAACCGAGTTTACCTTCCCGCCATCTTCCAATCCAAATAAATGAATAATTTTATTCCTCTAAAATACTTTCTATTTTTCCCGCGAAAATATCACTTTCTCATACTATTACCAATTTACCATATACGTATCCGCACAAAAATTTAAATAAATAATTCTAATTTAATATTCAGAAAGAAACCATGCTGAGCCGCGAAGATTCCCATTCAAAATTTTGAGAACTATCGGAAAAGAAGAAATAAATGTAGAAACAAAACCAGCTCTTGCCCTAAGCTACTGCGGTACTACCCTTATAAGTCTAGAAAGACCAAAATATCCGTTAATGGAAAATGGAACCAAGTCGATTCTGAATAGATAGAGTTTTATGGGAAGGGGTATATTTGGCAATGTGGAAGTAAATGCCTTTCTTCGTAAATTGGCTCCGGAGATTGTTAAATTTATTTACGATATCTACCCTTTGCCCCTGCTTATCTACCACCTCTCTCTTTTTTCTCTCTCCCTAGCTCTCTTTCGCTTTGGCTTCCCATCAAGGAAACCTTGGACCTATCGTCTCCGTCTCCACCTATTTTATTTCGTTCGTGACTCGAGGGATCTCACAAAACCCTAATTTTTCTTTGTTTTCGATCTTTTGTGGTTTGTCTGTTCATCGTTTGTCATTGATTCGGAGGTTTTGACATCGTTTGCAAAGGATTATATGCTTGGGTTTTATTTTCTTCGATCTGAATCTAATTCAGGAGCGGCAAATTTAGGGTTTTTCGTTCTTGTTTTGTAGGGTTTTTGTTTGGGATACAACGGATTTGGTTTTTGCTCTCAGATGCATATCTTGTGAGGGTTCTATTATTCGATTTGTGCCGGATGGCGAAGGGCACTGATTCAGAGCCGTTCGTATTGTTGTCGGGTGTTAGGACCGGCCTCAAACGCGAGTTTGCTTTCGCCTTGAAGGTCCAATCGGAGCTTTCTGGTTCACTTGGTCGAACTCGGTCGAGGAAGTTTGAGAATAGCCCTTCTAGTGAAGGAGTTTCAGAGAATTCGAGGAATAAGAGACTCAAGAGTTCTCATGCAAAGAAGGGTGTCAAGGATGCTGAGGTGAAAAGTTCAATCATAGAGGAGGCGAAGAGAGACTTGGTGGCATCTCTTCTCGAGGAGCCTAAGAGTGATCTGGTAAAATCTGCGGGCGAAGAGGAGGCCGAAAACAATTCTGTACAACCTATAGGAATAGAGGAGTCAAATGGTGATCTTTTGAAACCTGAAAGCGAAGAGGAGCCCGAGAGCAATTCTGTACAACCTATAGGAACAGAGGAGTCCAATGGTGAAAGCGGAAATAAGCCCGAGAGCAACCCGGAACAATCAGTAGGAACAGGGGAGCCCAATGGTGACAATGTGAAACCTCTGACCGAAGAGGAGCGCAATTGCAATCCAGTACAATCTGTGGGCATAGAGGAACCCAACAGTGATCTGGTGAAACCTGCGATCGAGGAGGAGTCTGAGAACAATCTGGTGCAATCTGTTGAAGCGGAAGGGCCTGGCAACGATCTGATGAGACAAGTCGGAGAAGAGGAGACCAAGAATGATTGGGCAGAGTATGTAGAATCAGAGAAGCTGGCGAAACCTGCAACCGAGGAGGAGCCTGAGAACAATCTGATACTATCTGTTGAAGCAGACAGGCCCGCCAACGATCTGATGAAACATGCCGGAGAAGAGGAGACCAAGAATGATCGGTTAAAGTCTGTAGAATCAGAGAAGCTGGTGAAACCTGCGACAGAGGAGGAGCCTGGGAACAATCTGATACAATCTATTGAAACAGAGAGGCCCGACAGCAATCTGATGAAACATGCCAGAGAAGAGGAAACCAAGAATAATTGGTTAGAGTCCGTAGAATCAGAGAAGCTGGTGAAACCTACCGGAGAAGTGGAGACCAAGAAAGATTGGGTACAATCTATAGAAACAGAGAAGCCCACTAATGAGGTCGCCTTGAAGGTTCAATCTGAGATGTCTGATTCAATTGGTACGACTAGAGCTAGGACGTTTCAAAATGACTCTTCTAGTACTGGGGTCTCAATGTATTCAAGAAATAAGAGATTTAAGAGCTCCCATGCAAAGAAGGATCTGGAGAATAATGAGGTAATGTCTTCAACCAATGGCGGGCTTAAGAGCGAGCTTAAATCTCTTTGTGAGGATGAACCCAAGAGTGATCTGGCTAAACCGACGAATGAAAAGGAGCCCAAGAATAACTGTGTACAATTTGTTGGAACAGAGGGGTCCAATGGTAACATGGTGGTGCATGCTGGTAAAGACCATAATTCACCCAATAGCGATTTGGTAAAATGCGTAGAACCAGAGGAGTCTAATAATAATGAAGCAAAATCCCAGGCTGAAAAGGATCCAGAGGGCGACATTATGAAATCTCAAACAGAAGAAAGCACTGTCAAGGAAGCCCAAATGGTGGTTCATGATAATTCTGAGGTAGAGACTCCCTTGCCTGCAAGGCCTCCAAGGCGTTTTACTCGTTCAGCCTTGACAGAGGAACTGAAGAACAATTTACTAAAAGCAGTTGTGAAAGAGGAACCAATTGAGATTCTATCTCCAGTTAGTAAGGAGCCAAGATGTGACCCTGGGAGACCTAGAACAGAAGGAACCAGTTCGGGAATTCCAATGGTGATTGATGATGTTAGCGAAGGACAAAATGCCTCGCAGGAGAACTTGCCTAAGCGGTTTACTCGTTCAGCATTGAAGATACCCAAGGCTGAGCCAATAGAGGTATCTGCAAGTACGAGTGGGGATTCTGTTGTATCAGAAGATTCCAAGAATGCAGCAATTGCAAAAGGCAGTTCTGTTGTGTCAGATGATGCTAAGAGCGAGGCATTGGCCAAATGTGACAGCAAGAAGGATGATGTGGTTAGCCCATTGAAAACACCTCCAAAGAAGAAGTTAGAACTGAAAATGTCTAAAAAGATTGCCTTGACCAAGTTTCCCTCAAGGGTGAAGGAGCTCCTTGAGACTGGTTTGCTGGAGGGATTGCCTGTCCAGTACGTTTATCGCAGCAGGAAGGTATATCTTGCAGCTCTCTTAGGTTCTAGTCTTTGTTTCTGTCTCTATGTCCCTCAGAGATTTCACTTTTGTTTCTTTACTGCAATTTCTTACAGCAAGGAGGACTTCGGGGAACGATTAAAGATTGTGGGATCTTGTGTACCTGTACATCCTGTAAAGGATGCAAAGTAAGAATCATTTCTCAAGTGAAGGCAGCTATTATGTCCTTTATGTCAAGATAGTTGACAAATTGAATGGATATTATTTCCTTTAGGTTGTTACACCCTTTTATTTTGAGCAACATGCGGGTAGTACAAATAAGCGCCCATCGCAATATATTTACTTGGAGAATGGGAATAGCCTTCGTGATGTTTTAGAGGCATGTAAAGGTGCTGCTTTGGATGAGCTGGAAGCAGTTATTAAAAGTGCAATCGGTCTATCAACAATGAATGATTCTACCACCTGTGAGACAAGTCCCGCTTGTACAACTGGTACCACTTCCAGGTATGCTCTATTTAAGATTCGTCTCCAGCAATGTGGTGCCTTTTCATTTCTACTCTAGGGATTACTATTTTGTTCTAGGCTTCTGGGTGCAATCTGTGATATTAATTGCTTGTGTAATTATATTTATCAAAAAAATGCTTGTGTAATTATAGTTGATTGATGGGTTTTGGATCTTTTCTGGAATATTATTGTGATAGTATGAACTAGATTCATTCACATTAAAAAATAATCATACTGCATATCTATATATGTTTTTTGCATATATATACTAATTGAATCTTGAAAGAACATGAAAATAGACATCAACAGGAAAGTTGGCAATAACAAATTCAAGTTTTGGGTAATACCATTTGGGTGATAGTTTGGCTTTGGACTTGGGATTCCATTTGCCAATTTGAGGAGAATTTTGTAATTTTTGCATATGCTCTGCGATACCTGGATAACTGTACATGGTTAGCTTTCCATTTTGTAGTTTTGAGGAGTGTTATTATCCAACATGACACTGGATACTACATGGACACTTTAGATATACTTTATAGCATTACTACTTCTTATATATGTGAAACAATATGTTTAAACAAAGCATACTCAAAAAAATTGTCAAGTTAATTCAAATTGGCAAGACATAAGTTATTGAAAAATGACACTTAGCTTAAAGAACTAGGTATAAAAGCATGATATGAGCATACCATGTGGGATGCGTGTATCCATATCTGTGTTTGGGATTTTAGGAAATGAAGAGTTGTTTCATCATAGCATATAATAAGTGAGAGATTGGACAGTGTAGAAAAAATTGTTATTAGAAATTGTAGGTTTGCTATCATCTTTGTCATTAGATATTTTTCCATGATGTGGAGCTAGAATGTGTGAACTAATCATTTGTTTACATGGTGTGGAGCTCATTTGTCAAGGCAATCAATGCCTAGGCAACAAGGTGCTCATGGAAGGTTGCTTTCTTAAGCACCTAACTTTTTTTTTTAAAGGCGCTACATGATACTTTTTATTTTTTTTTCGAATATATAATAATAAAATATGCATTGTTAAACTAAATTATTGATTTTGTGAATTTATATAGTAGTTTCTCTTTATTGTTTTCTTATTTGTTATGGTTCAACCAACACACATGTTGGTGTATGCTGTCTTTAACCCTTGAAGACTTCAAAACCTGAACCAATAAGCAAGAAGCCTAGAACTTAAAATTTTGTCCAATCAATGCATCTATATATATGGAAAATAGATTCTTTATTTGGGTCAATGAGGGAGATCCCTATCCTGCCAGTTCAAGGCACCTGGGTGAAGCTAAGTGACCAAAGTGCACATAGACACCTAGGCACCTAGGCCTCGCCTAGGTGATGGATTTTCCTATAAAGCATCTACTGTTTACTCTTAGTCCCTAATGTGTGGTGCTACTGTTTCAGCAAATTTTTACTTCAAGAATGATGAAAAGAAGGGGTGCAGCCCCTATTTTACAGTTGACAGTCCAAGAGAAAGAACTATAAGAAGTAAAAAAAGGAGTGGATCCTTGTTCCAGTTGAAGAGAAAGAAGCAAAAATGTAGAAGATGTGTAGCCCCTGTTTTAGTAAACAGAAAGGAGCAAAAAAATGAGAAAAAAAAAGGAAAAAGGAGAAGAAAAAAGAGGGGCGGAGAGCCCATTTTGGTCCAAGAGAAAGAAGGAAAAAGTTAGAAAAAGAAAGAGAAAAAATTAAGAAAAAAGGGAGCAGAGCATCCTATTTATGTTTGAAAGAACCAAAGAAGAAAAGAACTAGGAAAAATCTAAGAAAAGAAGATGGAGAACAAGGAGGTGGAGCCCCTGTTTCAGTCCAAAAGAAAGAATAAAAAAAGTAAGAAAAATAACAGGAAAGAAAAAGAAGCAAAAAGGGGCAGAGACCCTGTCCAAATCCAAGAGAATGAAGGAAAAAACCAGGTAAAAACCTAAGAAGAGAAGAAAAATAACAAGGGGGGGGGACCTATTTCAGACCAAGAAAGGACATGAAAACAAAAAATAAAAAGGTAAGAATAGAAGAAGGGGCAGACTAAGAAGAGGAGGAGGAAGAGGAGGAGAACCAAGGAAGAATACATGCATGATGTTCTGTTCAAGTTCAAGAATCAAGGCTCTTCGATTGAGACATCAAGTCTCTTTGGTCCTCAAAAACCCTGTTTGAGCACTAACAAGGCTTAAAATAAATAAATATAATAATATTCACTGTTCAGTACATATTACAATTAAAATAGTGGTACAGTATAGCATGATGTACTTAAAGATATATGAACTAATCAATTAGAAAATTACAAATATATATTTATTTACTTGTATAATCCGCCCACCTTGCAATTAGGAACTTGCCTTGTTGCCTAGGCATGTCCCTAATTTACTGGGTATGCACCTAATTTATAAATATTTAGTCATTTGGGCGAGGTGAGCTTGTAATAGTGCTCAGTGGCCTAGGCATCACCTAGGTGTCGCCTTGACAACTATGCCTGCCACATGGAGAAATCCTGTGTTCAATCCACACTGTCCATTCTTTTCTTTGTCAATGCTACTCCTATAGCCATTTCAGCCATATATTTCACCATGTAAAAGAGTTTTGTCAGGTTAATGATACTTTCTATTTTTGTTTTTTAAATTTAAAATGCTCATAAAGGATATTTGGCAATTGGTAAGTTTTTTGGGCTGAAGTATACACCTTAGTTTAAGGGTGGAAAGAGGTATGCCAGGGACTTCTGAGCCCCAAAACAAGTTGCCCCATGGAATATCCTTGTTGTTTAGACTTCCGAAAACACAATGACTAGCAGAGTGCCAATGTATAATTTTTGGATGGCCTTTGAGCCCCAAAACAAGTTACCTCGTGGAAATCCTTGGTTATTTAGACTTCTACAAACAGACAATTCTCTCAGGAATTTATACAGGTTATTTTGAAGGCTTGAATTTTTCTAGTTCTCTAACTTTTGTAGTGGTTGGGAGAACATTACTTTTGGCTCTTTGTTAGGGGGGACTGGGTAGATGTGAATGCTTTTTAGCTACTAACCTGCTCTTTTTCTCTGACTCATTTTGGTTTCTTTGTACGGATTATTTCAGGTCACCGAACCCAGCTTTTACTCCAAGATCATCCAACAGTTCTTTGAAGAGTGTATCTGTGCCAAAGAGTAAAGGGAGGTTAACGAGAAAGTCAGTATTCTCTTTGTTGTGTGCATTTATGTACTAATATAGTCCATCTATGACGTGTAATTATTAGCTGTTTTCTTTGAGTACTTGCTAAACTTAATTTTTGGTACCATTTCCCCAGAGATCTACGATTGCATAAGTTGGTCTTTGAGGAAGGCGGGCTACCAGATGGAACTGAAGTAGGATATTATGCACATGGAAAGGTTGTTGCATTGAAGATAATGCAAAAAGAATCTCCTTTCGTTTTTCTTTATGATTCTTTTTGTAATAACTAATGCTTAACCTCCTGATGGACAGAAATTGCTGGAGGGTTACAAAAAAGGTTTTGGAATATTCTGTCGTTGTTGCAACACTGAGGTACTCCCATTACTTTGTGAACTACTGATTTTCTGGATAGTATGAACAATGCTGATTTTCTATACATTCAATGAGCAGGTCAGTGCATCACAGTTTGAAGCTCATGCTGGTTGGGCTTCACGGCGCAAACCGTGAGTTACTATTTGAAAGTTGAAACATTTGGTGGAAATCATCTGACTCTGAAATTAATCCTAACTTGAGTTCATTTGCTATCTTACAGGTATCTAAACATTTACACATCCAATGGAGTGTCACTTCATGAATTGTCACTATCTCTGTCAAAAGGCCGGAAGTTTTCTGCCAGTGAGAGCGATGATCTCTGCACCATTTGTGCAGATGGTGGGGATCTTCTACTTTGTGATGGATGTCCCAGGGCCTTTCACAAAGGTGAACTTTTGTTTTCTATCAGTAACAGCATTTTCCCTTTCATCCGTTTTTTGGACTTCTAAACTTTGACAAGTTTAATACTTGTTACACTAGTGAATATGAGAAGGCAGGGGTCAATAGGAATCAAATGTATTGGGGTATTTTACAAAATGGGGAGGAAATGTAAGGGGGTGGGTGGGTTAGATGAGGCTAACAACCCAAAGGGTGAATGGCGCTTAGTTGCTGTAGTGCTGTTTGTATGCTAATTGATAACCTTAGAAAGGGTATCTATTTGTAATATTTTGTTTCTTTTAGAATTCAAGTTTGTAAATTTATGTCTCTTAAGCTTTTCTTTTGACATTTTTTTTTTCTCTTCAAAAGTGAGGCTTCACTTTGTTCAGAGAACTTGCTTTGTGCCTCTGGCTCCAGGAACTATTTGGTCCATAGTTTCACTTCTTGCTTATAAAACAACATTTCCACCTTGTGGTTTTTTTTTCATCATTAACAATATGTTTTATTAAAAATGAATAAAGTAAATGTGCAAAAAACACAAAACAGTAAATACAATGTGAAATATTGGTCCTTTCTCTGACCAAGTCTTCCCTCAAGATATACCTAAAAGAAGCCGTACATTTCTTACTACCCTCTTATGGCATTCAACTCCCACAAAACAATCTATGCCTATTTACCCCTGCTCATCAGGTTGTCAGTGGATTCATTTGATGTTCTTCTGATCCATGCGAACAAGGTATTCCTTGATGAAGAAACTTTGTTTTAGGTAACTTATGTACCACAAACCATTCTCATTTCATCATCCACCTAATAACAACCTGTAAATCATGTTCTACTTCAACTCTTTGACATTCTGATTGATGTAAAAATCTTGATCCTTGTAAGGGAGCTAACGTTTCTGCCTTTATAGCAGTGCATAATCCAACTGTTCAGCCCTGTCTTCAAGATCCCCCTTTCAGATAATCTTATGCATCTTCATTCTTCTTAACAAGACATGAAAAAACGATGAGATCCTCCTTCCTCTTGTTCTTCTTCCTCCTCCCCCTCCTTCCTACTCATCCCTCCTCTTAAGGTGGCTTATGCCTCCTGTGCTTGAGTCTAGAGAGGCTTATGCCTCTTACATTCTGAACAGTGCCTCACGCCTCCAGGTAGTGAAACGGCTGGTGTCATGCCTTCACATTTTAAAACATTGGCCTTTGCCTGTTAGAAAGCTCATAATGTAAAGAGAAAAGTGTTTCAGAAACCGTAAATATGCTATGCATAAAAAGTAATTTGCTAGCCAGGATGGATCATACAAATTGAGAAGTATGATCAAGTTTTATTTCAGTTTTATGATAAGAACATTTCTTCAATTAATGTATGAAAAACCTCTTAATGTTAAAACCTACATCTGTAGAGCTTGCTGTCAGGGAAGAGGTGAGTCTTAGTTTATTGAGACCTAATTCTGATGCAGAGGTTGGCTATTTGGAAATAAACCTTTGAAATAAAGAGGATAAAGAAGAGGATTTGGGAATGATAGGATGATTTAGGTGGGTGATAATGCGCTTCAGACTGACATATCCATGAGAAATCAAACACCGTATATTGTATGGAGATTGGCCTTAGTCTTTTGGATGGCCTACCATGGCCTATAAGAACATTAATGACCAGAGGAGGGAGATCACCCAATTGAGGAAGAAGGCCAAGTTGAGCCCAGCAATTTGTTTACTTTGGATGAGGTTTGGGGATGGGGTAGAGGTGGAAGGTGAACCAATTGAAGATTTTCTCTGTTTGACCAACAGGTGGTCTGGAGGCAGAGGAAGGCATGATTATGGGTAGGGAGCCTATGGCAAAAATGCCTGTTTCTTCTTCTCTTTGTTTCTCCAAGGTGGATGTTATTGTGAAGAGCCATATGCATGACACAGACACTACCTATGAATCCTGGATGCCTATACATGCCTAGTGTAGTGGTGTTAGATACATTACTTATTGGATATGGTACTGAATACTTTATAGATGCTTCTAGATGTACTCTATAGCATAAGACTTTTAAAACATGTAAATTGTATGTTTTAACAAATCATACCATAAAAGGTTCTCTACATGCTAGAAATTCAATTAAATTTAGCAAGATAAGTAAATACAAGCATGATATTATAAGCATATTACATAGATACTCTTATCCATGTCCATGTCTGGGATTATAGGAAATTGAGGATTGTATCCTTCTTTTGTTTCCTCTAGTGTTTTTTTTTTGTTCCTTCAGTTCTATACATATTTTATGCATATTATTTTTGGCTTTTGGCTGGTTGTCTTTTGTAGACAAGACTTTCTTGAGGAGCTTCTCTTTCCTTGTCTGTATTTTCTTGGAGTCAAACATTTTTGTATGTGGTGGTTAATTATTCATATTTTAATTTACTTGGAGTGGGGTGGGGTGGGGTGGTGGTAATGCTCATAGGTTCTTTTAGTTTTTCCTGGTGGCTCTCTTTCTCTTTGTGTTTGCCTTGTTTATTAATATTACTTTTATTATTGATAATATATGCTTTTTCTTTTGCCTGTCCTGGCATTCTTCTTTGATTGGTTCACGCCAACAGATTTTATGTGATGGTTTCCTTACAAGTAGTAGTAATTATAGTTTTGATGTGTATTCTCAATTGTTTCTTGCAGCTTGTTTGTCTCTATCAAGTGTTCCTCGTGGTGATTGGTATTGCAAATATTGCCAAAACATGTTTGAGAGAGAAAAATTTGTAGAGTATAATGCCAATGCAAGGGCTGCTGGAAGGGTTCCAGGAATTGATCCTATAGAGCAGATAACCAAGCGGTGCATACGTATTATCAACACACCCGAAACTGAAGTTGGTGGATGTGTTTTGTGCAGGTGAACTAAAAAACTAAGGGGTGTTGTGAAGTTGAATTGTCAGAATTTTCAGTTAATGATTTAGGGGCTGCTGATAACAGCTAAAATAACTGAACTGAATGATTTATTGATTTGTTTGTTAATGAATAAAATAATTAAATAAGAAAACATTTGAGGGTATAAATCAACCCAATTTCAGCTTCAGCCATTAAGGAGATTGCAACCTCCTGAATAGCTTATTTACTAAATGATAAAGCAGTAGGTCATTCAGTTTAGCCACATCAGCTATTATCAATCCCTAGGGCTGTCAATGGGTTGGGTGGTGGCTCTACCCAACAGAAATGAACTGACTGAACTAATTATGTCTGTTCCGGTTCTGTGGTTTTGTCCCAATTAATAATTGGGTTGGGACAGGTTCTTGCTGATCCAAACTGATTCAAACCTGAACCAATTATATAGTTAATACTATATAAATGCCTCCTGTTTTCTTGTAATTTTTGTTATATTTTATGTCCAAAATGGTAAATTTTATATGTATATAAGAAAATTTTGTTTAAAAAACATTTGTTTTATCAATATGATCATTTTTATTAAGGCCATATTATTAAAAACATAGTTTTAAGCTGTCATAAATGGTTAATAATCATAGGTAATTTTAAGTAAAAAACAAAGTTCATTAAGGTTATATTATCATAAGTAATTATAGTACAATCGGATCAGACCTGATTGTGTCAATTAATAAATGGAACGGTTCTGGGTCCGTTATATACGGTTAATAATTAGTTCAGGACTCATACAGCCTAAATGGCCCCTTGGAGGCTTTTGCTTTTATTATTGTTCATTATGGATATTTATTATGAAGCACTGGATGACCTGTTCTTGTATCCATGTGGTTTTTGATGGTACTCAGTAAGCAGAGTTGCATGAATACTGACATGGGAATCAACATCCTATGTGTGTTTTGGGAGTCTGACTTGGCAAGAAGAAAAACAAGGATTTTTGGTCATGTCATAGAAAAGTACAAACCATTAAAATAATCCGTACATTTTGTTTTGGAATTCTAACTTATATACCCATAAAAAATGTCTAGAATTTCATCTTTATTACTTGATAATGATTTCTAGAAAAATGGTATTCACTGTGTAAATTAGCTATACATCTAGGATCTAGGTCAAATAAGCAAGTATATAAAGGAAAATCTTCTGGTGAAGTGTTGGTCAGTAATCCATGGAGTATCAGAATTCAACAATGACCAACACTGACACTTCTCTTAGGAGAAAGTCCATGCAACACTGCATGTAAGCAATTAATATTGCCCGAAATCAATGTCTAGATTACTTTATGCTCGCTCTTTCTTTCTCTCCAATTTTTGTTTACAGCTTAGGGCTTACTTTTTCTGATGTTGTGGAATGTAGAGGCCATGGATTTACCAAATCAGGGTTTGGTCCACGCACGGTTCTGCTTTGTGATCAGGTACTGGTTTTGTTCCTTTAATCTACTGGTTGTCACATGTGAAGTATTAGAATAATGTATTCATAGAAGTGCTGCTCTTCCTTAAAAATTTCTTATAATTGAGTTTTTCTACTGATCAATACATACTTTTTCCCAGTGTGAGAAGGAATATCATGTTGGTTGTTTGAGGGAACACAACATGGCAGATTTGAAGGTGCTGATAAATGATATTATCTTATTTCTATATTCCTTACAGCTGTTATTACTTTATTATACAGTGTCTCTGCAACTTCTTCCTTGGCTGTAATTTCTTATACTTGATGCTATTCATACAACAGGAATTGCCAGAAGGGAAGTGGTTCTGTTGCACGGATTGCAGTAGGATACATTCTGCTTTGCAGAAGTTGCTACATCGTGGATCTGAGAAGCTCCCAGACTCTCTTTCGAATATCATAAAGAAGAAACAAGAGGAAAAGGGTTCAAACAATGATGCTGACCTTGATGTAAGATGGAGACTTCTTAGTGGAAAAAATGCTTCTCCTGAAACTAAATTGTTGCTATCCAAGGCTGTCGCGATATTCCATGTAAGTAATTGTCTTTGCTTTATAAAAATGATAGAAACTATAACTCTATGCCCTAACTAAGATTGTCAAACGAGAAAAAAAAAGGCTTATTACTGATGTTATTCTACAAAATAATCTTGTCTATTACTGAAATGTTGATCTAAGACAAACACATACCCCCGCCCCAACAACTAATTTCAAATAGTGAAATCCGACTTGCGAAATGTGAGGAAAAACATGAGATAGCTATTCTCAGTGATCAGTGGAAGAAAGGTATTGTGACGCTGAATAAATAGGAACCTTTACTTTTGCTTCTAATAGGTTGTAGGTAGTAGCTGTTTACAGATCTAGGGAAGCACAATGGTCTTTTTGAATAGATGCTTTCTGGGTAAGTCATGGTTTGTGTGTCTAGAGAAAGCTTCATTAAGGGCTTAAAAGGGGTTTGAGGGGCCTAAAACAGTTCATTAGTTGTTCTCTTTTTAGGTATGAAAAAGAGGGAAGTTGAGGGGGAAAAATGCTAGGTAAATGGTCTTAGATGCTATGTGGTGCAAAATGGTGGTGCTGGTTGGCATACTGTCTAAGCCAATGTTCTGTAACTTGGGCATTGCAGGTGCTGGACTGACAAGTCCAAGGGAAGAGAAAAGATTTGGTGAGGGAGAAAGAATTCTAGAGATAATCTAGTAGCGTGGAGGAGAAAATATCTTATGCTTTTTGTTTGAATATTGACAAGGGAGTCTAATTTCAAAGGTCAAATTATTCTTTTAAGTTTTGTTTGATGCTCTGTAACAATGAAAAATGTCATTCTTTGTGTATGTTCCAGTGTTTTAAAAGTGCAAGGTGCAAAAAAAGTGCAAGGAACAATTTGTGCCTGAGGCGCAAGGCGAGGCACGCTCCTTTTTGAAGCAAGGTGCAAAATAACAAAAAATGCTAAAATAATGTCAGAAAATAAAAAAAATGCCAAAAAATTAAAAAAATGCAAAAAACATTAAACATAATGTTAATAAAAATATAAACTTAAATTTTCAAATACATGTTTTAAAAAACCTATTATCTAAAATTAAAATACATAAACATAACATGTAAAGCGTATTCAAATGAAAATTTGAAAATAAAAGCAAACATATAAAGCATTTTCAAGCATGCAAAACACACAATCTCTTTTTTTCCCTCAACTGCATTACTTCAAGTAATTAATGTGATGTAAAAAACATATTGCATTCTTGATTCCATGAGTCACTTTTGTACCACGTGCCACACCCCTCGAGGCAAGCCCAAACAAGTTCATGTTAGGGTCTTAAATTCTTATTTCTCAACGATTTTATAACTTTAATTGCCTTTTAAGAAGATATTTTATTGGAATGAATGAATGAACACGATTAGCAAATAGGGGGGGTGTCGGCAAGGTTTAAAATGTCGATGTCAATGGAAATGTCGCTTACCAAAATAAATGACTTATGTCGGAAATGTCGAGGGGAAATATTGTAAAAATTAGAGACATTGTGGAAATATTATGAAATATGTGAAAATATGCAATGATATTTTGTAAAATGATAAAAGAAGCATCGATACATATTTCTAGACTATTATCTTATTTCCATCCATTATAGCTAAGAAACTAAGATCAATAACAAATTAGTAAATGATGATTTACTAATTTATTATGCATTTTGATGTTTTTACAAGGTTATCCAATATTTTCTTTTCTCAATTTTAATTCTGATTTATTATAAATTCTAATATATTTATTCCACACTAGTAAATAGAAATACATTTATTCTGATCTTTTAAATATTAAAGTTATAATACAGTATGTTTTATTATAAATTTAATAAACTGATTCTCCTTTTTGTAGTACTAACTATTAAGATTATGATAAATTCTGATTTCTTATAAAACTTAATGAATTTATTATGATTTTTAATACTAAATTTATAATAAATTATGATTTAGTATAAAATTTAATAAAATTATTCTCATTTTTATATTAAATTTAGAATATGATTTATTATAAAATTTAATAAACATTTTCTGATTTTAATAAATATTTTAAAAATACTAACTAGTTAATATTTTATTACTTGAAAATATTTTATGTTTTATATTATAAAGTAATTAATTTATTCTTTTGTTTTTATTTTTTGTTAATTATTTTTTATAAATATTTTATTTGAAATATTGAATAGAAATTATTAATGGAATAATTTATATTAATATACTGTATTATATTAATATAATATACTAATATATTATATTATTAATATACATTAGTCGACATCTTATCGACATCCTGTCGACATAATAGGAAAAACTGTTTTTTTTTTGTTATTTGGACCAATTTGGTCGACATTTCCGAATTATAAGGGAATGTCAACCGAAATAATGTAGTTTTTATATTACCATACATTTTCATGTCGGTGAGCCTCGACATCGACATATGTTGGGTGACATTAGCGAAATTTCGCGACATTTGAAACCATGGTTCTCGGAGCTTCGGTGAGCGAATGAACGCCTAGGCGCACCGAGCGTGCGGACCTGGGCGAGGTGCATACCCTAAAATGTGGCTCGCCTGTGCGCATAGGCGCGCCTTTTAAATCACTGGTATGTTCTAGTAACTATGGCTGTAGAAGAGAGGAGAACCCAGAAAAGACTATTCTGTCCTTATTAGCGGACAAAACTAAAGTAGACAGGTGTGTTTTGTGCAGATCTGGAATTGGTTTTTTTCCTTGTTTTGGGTGCAGGTGGTCCTTACCTGCAGAAGCTAACTTGGTGTTTGTTCCTTCTATGTTTACCAATAGCCTTGATTTGGACAATTTGGGAAGAGAGAAATGCGAGATTTTTTTTTGAGAAAGAAAAAAGCAAGGAAGAGATAAGGGAATGTGTGATGATTAAAGTGATCCATTGGATCAAATCTTTGGATCTGTTTTCTCAAATTTCTCATAATGACTTATGGAGAAACTGGAAGGAATTGCAAGTTCTTCCAGAAAGGGAAGAATAAATGTTGTCTGGCTACCCCCACCTGAACACTATGTGAAGTTGAATTTTGATGGGAGTAGCAGGGGGAATCCAGGACCTTCTGGTATAAGAGGGGTCATGAGAGACATGGAAGGAAAACTGGTAGCCTTATTTTCTGGCCCAGTGGGGATTGGGGACTCTCTCAAGGCAGAATTGCTTGCAGCCTTAAAAGGAGCACAAATTGTGAATGAACTGAACATGACCAGCTTGGTGATTGAAGGGGACTCAAAATTGGTGGTGTGTTGGTTAAAGGATCCAGAATCTGTAATATGGTGCTACAGGAATGTGATAAAAAAGTTTTTATGGATTACCTAGAATATGAATTTCAGGATACAATGGGTAAGGAGATCGGAAAATGGGTTAGCTAATACTCTTAACCAAGCAAGGGGTGAATAGACAATCTTTGTTTTGGTCTCACTAGTAATTTTTTCTATTCTGTTTGTGTATAGAGAGGAAGCATCTTGTGCCTCTCTAAGGAATGCTTGTAGTGATTATATATCTTCAGAATTAATAAAATCTAATCTCATTTATCAATAAAAAACTAAAGTAGACTGGGAATAGAATGCTGAAAGGACTATACTGTCCCTGTCCATACACCTCTTTCCAGTGTATGTTCCATACTTTCCAACTCAAGAGTCAAGATATAGCTGAGAATATTTTTTTTGCTTTTTTTTTATGTAGGGGTGCACCTTCTGTAGACTTGATTTGGGCTTTTGTCAAAATTTGAATGAGTCCAGCCCGAATCAGTGTATAATGCCAACTTGGGCCAACCCAAGTTCCACTAAGGGATGATCATGGGTTGGGGCTTCTGGGCCAGATCAGCAAATTAATGGCACATTGGTCTCAGGCCCGGGGCCCGGCCTGCACCCTCACCTTGGTAATATGTGTTCAGGCCGAAGGAAGCAACTAACAGTATTGACATCGTGGTTAAGGAAATATCAACTAGTACTTTATCCAAAACAATCAGGAAATGTGAAGAAGATTTTGAGTCTTGATGTCAGACATACCTGTTACCTATAGAAGTAGAAGAGAGACCTTAAGAGAATCAAAGATTCAAGTTCATGCATCAAGTCCCTTCAATGTTGAAATGGCAAAAGAGATTGAGTTAGTGAGTTTGACTCTTGAAGATGAATGGGTGAAAATGGAAAACCCCCAAAAGGTTCAAGAACTGGTTGGTGGCGAATTGGCAAGAGAGACTAAATTAGTGAACCTTAGATCTTGTTTCTTGAAGATGGAAAAACCCCAACATATTGGTCAATGACGATTGGGAAGAGAAAGTGAGATAGAAAGTTCAAAAAAAAGAACCTCAAAAGCCCTAGACTTAGATGAAGAGTCAATGAGTGATAGTGTTATGATTCAAACTAGAAGGTCTTTTAGGGTATTTTCTCTAACTATTAATAATTTAGTACCATACACGGCTAAGGTGCTGCACAACGGCACAACCTAAAGTATAAAAGTAGACTAGACTAGTATATGTACTAGCATACCTAGGATAAGTGCGAGCTAGGCTGGGCTTTCCTTTCCTGAATACACGGCTAAGGGCTGTCCCATGTTTTATGCGGTCTAGGTTTGGGTCCAAGTGGGCCATGCCTAAAAGAAAAGTACAAGCTCGGGCCCTGAAATTTGCAGGCTGGACAGGCTGGGTCAGGTCAAAAAATGACCATCCCTAGTTGCACCCCTATTTTTATGTGGACTTCAAGCTGGGTCCACACAAAACTTAATTAAAAACTTGTAGATTTGAACAACATTCCTAACTAGAATAGGGCTTAAGAAAGCAAGGTTTATCTGGGGATTCCTTAGGGTCTGATTGCCACTTTGAACTGCACAAAATCTAGTACACTTTGAGAAATCTTCTAAAAGGAGGTTCCCATAGTTGAGTGTCACATTTCTTCATGTGGAGGTTCTTATGCATATGCAGAAACTTTAGGACTTTTTGAGCTCTTTTAGTGCATATTGCCATTATGTAGATTGTAGAAGATTCTTTGAACAACTTTTATTTTCTTTTCGAATTTTATGGAGGCTTCAGATACTTTTCTTTTCTGTTGCTTGATTAGATGTTTTTCTTGTCATTAATTATCAGTTTTGGCATATAAAGATATTGCTAATGCATTCTCTAATTGTCTGCCTCCTCTTTCTGTTCTCTAGGACCGCTTTGATCCTATAGTTGATTCAACTACAGGACGTGACCTTATCCCATCCATGGTTTATGGGTGAGTAAGACTAATAATCTCTTTTTTATGTTATGGTTGATCATTGCTTTCTATTTGTTGTATTTTTTTCCTTGTAGCTTTTGCTCTATTGTGTATATGACTTTCTAGCATTGGAAGCTTTCACAGGTATTGGGTGTCCATTCAGGAAATGCTGAAAAGTTAATCTGTGGATTGTTAGTATGTATAAATAATATTGGAAAAGATTGTTGTTTTTAACAATAATGAGCATCATATGTTTCATTAATCAACAGAATTTTATGAAAGTTTTTGTATTTGGTATACACATTGTCAAAGCATACATCTCTGCTGATTATGTTTCCATGGGAATTTAGTAAAGAATTCATAATTCTGGTAGATATTCTTTGCACTTGCATATTAATAAAAAGTCTAGATCAGTTCCATACCAAATACTTTTTTGAGTATCAAAATCAAACATCTATTGTATATATTGGATGCTTCAACTGCTTACAAGACAAAACAATAGGAACCCAAAAAGTGTCTTATCAGGAAACAGTAGAATATAAGAAATTGACTTTATCAGAACCTAATTCTTCTCCCATTTAAGTATAGCCTCTGTATTTTTTCCCTAACTATTCAAGAGTAAGAGTGACAAGATCAGATCTGGTGTGAGGGGCTCCAGGTCTGGGGATAGAATTGTAACAAAGCTGAATATTTTCATTTAAAATATTGGTCAGCTGTGAGCTGTTCTTTCCTCATATCTTCTTCTTGGGGATGAGTTTCTTTCATTGCTACAATAAATAAAATCTCAAGCATTGTTTCTGATATAAAATATGTATATTTTCTCTAAATATTTATTATGCTCTTTATTTAAACTTGCTACTGACATTCTTAATATTTTTGTAGGAGGAATTTAAGGGACCAAGAATTTGGAGGAATGTATTGTGCAGTATTAACAGTGAAGTAAGACTAATTTTTATTTGTGATTTAGGCACCAGTTCACCTTGTGGTTATCTTATGACATGCTTTATTACTATTGCAGCTCATCTGTAGTATCAGCTGGAATTATTCGGATTTTTGGACGGGAAGTCGCAGAACTTCCTTTAGTTGCTACAAGCAAGGATTATCAAGGACAGGTGAGGCTAAGATCCACACAATTTATTAGAGTAGAATTCAAAGTCAGGTTCCTTTGTTCACTTCCAAGTGTTAGGGGGTGTGGGGTAACAGAGCAAAATAATCTGGGAAAAGAAACATAAGGGATATTATAAATTGATAAGGGTAGAATTTTTACATGAATGTGCAACCAATCCCACCTGCACGTATCATCTTGTAAACTAAGTATAACTTTGATCATTGATCCCAGATATCTCTTAAAGTGTGATGCAGTAGAAAGGCTGCTGCTAGTTGAAAATGAGAAATTGCTAATTGTAGGAAGATGCAAATTATGAAGGCAAGCAATAAATAACATCCTGTTGACCATATTCTTTAAGGATAGATAAGTTTATAAATAAGAAAAATGATGTACCTTTTGGTTTCCTTCGTGGCATTTATTTTGATATTGATAGGGTTCAGTGCCTAGGCCCCCCATGGATCATGTTATGTGAATGTGTTTATTGCTCCCAGACCAAAGCCTAAAGTGGGGTTATGTTAGCTTAAGAATTAGACATTCCAGCATACTCCATTGCATGCAATTTCTTTTCCATGGTGGTGAGGTTTTCTTGCATCTATCTTTTATGTTGGTGAGTCTCCAATCTAAGGGTTAGGTGGTGAGGTTTTAACCACGTTATTCTCCTCTATCCTCTTTTTTGCAATTTTCTTTTTCTCTTTGTTGTTTCGGTGGTTGTTTTTTTCGCTCTTTCCTTTCATATTTTGGTAAAGCTCCCTCCTTTTGATGGAATCTCCTTAATGCCAAACATCTGATATAAAGTGTATCCACCCTCATCATCTTTGAAAAGATCCTTTTGATTAGGGCACTGGGGGTGCTGCATGTACTAATTAAATTTGCAACTCTATATACCAAAACAGTTTATGAGAAGTTCTGCCTCGTCTTCTTTTTTCCCATTTTTTCTTTGGTGAACAAAAATAAATTGTAACTCTTGCAGATCAAAAGAAAAAATTATAACTCTTATTTTGAGCTTTCACAGGGCTACTTCCAGTCGTTGTTCTCTTGCATTGAGAGGTTACTAGGGTTCTTAAATGTGAGGAACCTTGTCCTCCCTGCGGCTGATGAAGCAGAATCCATATGGACAGATAAATTTGGGTTCATGAAAATACCTGAAGACCAGGTGAGTAGGTTGAGCTTTATTTGTGTACATCTAGTCGAGTTGCAGAGAGTAAAATTTCAACTTGGGTTTTGAATCGCAGCTGAGCAAGTTGAGAAAAGAATGCCAGGTGATGACGTTTCAGGGAACAGCCATGTTACAAAGGCCAGTCCCAAAGTGCCGAATTATTGGTAAACCAACTGAAGTTAGCTGAGGTGGCATACTGTAGGAGCCCTAAGGTAGAAAGCTAATAGAGGAGACATTTTTGCTGAGCCTTTTCACTTGAATGTACAGGGAAGGATCTGTATTTTGATTATGTACAGTAAGGAACAGACTCCTTCCATACCAGTCAAGGATATTTATGTTATAGTTTTCTAGCAATGGAAAGAAGAAATGAATGCTCAGTCAGTGGAATACAAAACGGGGACCAGATGACGGTCAGCAGCAGAGGAGAAAATCTATTCTTTTGTAACTGGGGTTAGGGGACAGAGGAGAAATCCCTCTTTTTTTTTTGTTTTTTTGGATGTCCTATATCTTTTAAGCCTCTTCTTGGATGTCTTATCAAAGAAAATGTTCTTCGTTTTTTGATTTTTCATATGTAATTCCGTAAGATTTTCATTTCTTGTCAAAGCTCAAAAGCATGGTTTACCTTTCCCTTTGTGGACATCGGGTGGAATCTGGATGGAACTTTTTACTTTTACATACCAAATGAGTTGCCTTTCTTGCTCACTGGCGCATCCATTTGTGAAATCCTCGTACTGGTTTATTCAAGCCTGAAAGTACACCATTTGATGCCTGTAGTCCATTGCTCGTACATGTCTCATTTTGTTTTTTGTTCTCTTCATTCCTTTCAATCTCACCGACTTGGGTAGGAGAATGGCTTTTTGTTGGGTTATATAGACAGGAATAACATGGACGCCATCCTTCAACCCCCAACACCCCACCTCGTAACTCTGATAAGGAATTGGCACATTGGTATGCAACTTGGGCCAGAGTATTTCCAAAAGCCAACGTGAGTTTGAGGTTGGTTCAGGCTTAGGGTTGAAAAATATGAACTTGGCTTAAATTTATCTTGGGGCTTCAACGATAACCGATTTTTTAGTGTAACAGAAGTATGACATCAAAGCACCATAACTTGGTCCCCTAGAATTTGTTTTGTCTGTCAGGGACACGTATAATTTAGGGAGAAGTTCAGATTACTACCCAATAAGGTGTCAACTCAATACTTAAACTTACAAAATGCATCAATTTAGTATCTATCGATAAGTAGCCGTGTATCACATCATGTGACATCAAATGTGACTTAAAACTTTTAAATATATCAAAATTATCCTTCAAAATAAAATATTATTCATCCTCTTCTTCTCCAAAAAGTTAAAATAATACATTAAGTTTTAGAGAGTTTTGCAAAATGGTAATGCTCACAGTCAGCCGCCATCATTCCATCAGATCGTGAATATGGAGGATTGAAAGTCAAGGCCGCCATCTGTCGTTAATAACAAACCTACGTCTTGGAGGGGCAAATTCCAAAAGTCCTAAAACCATCAAGCAGAGGTCTGCATCGCCTCTGAACATTATAGAGCTCCATGATTCGGTCATAGTTCTCTGGAACTGTTTTTCCATAAAAAATAGTATTTTAAGTCACACAGTAGAAATTGAGGTGTGGTTTGGATTTTGGAATAACGCTGGATTTGACGTTTTCTCAGATTGGAGTTCGTTGTTGCTAATGAAAATGTGATGTGGCAGTGACGTGGATTTCCTATAATGGGTACCAGTGCTGAAAATAGATATAGAGCACTAGTACTGATGAGGTGTAATTTGACCCAACCTATCAACACCCGGACATGTGGAAACTACCTGTTAAGTAGATGACAACTTGACTTTCCTGCCACCTCAACAAGCCAGGTTAGCTCGGGTACCTTAGGCACCTCGGCTAGACTGAGGTCCAAGCAGCTCGTGAAGGCCCGACCTATTGAGGTGACATGTAGCCAACTTCTAAAAGCTAGCCAGCTGTGTTCGACCTCTTCGAGATCCCGCCGTACATCCGCAAGTCTTATTCTCATCCCGCTCGAATCGGACAGACTCGATAAGCCTTATCAACTCACACAAAGTTTACCTCCTAGAGCGGAATGGATTCCTAGTAGCATGGAGAGTTTTGTAAGGCATAGGATAACTCACCTATATAAGGGCACCAATCCCAATAGTATAAGGTACGTACGATTAATTGCTCACTAGCTTACTTGCACTTAAGCTTTCAGCTCACACACTAAGAGTACTAACTTAAGCATCGGAGCACCCACACCGGGTAAGTCACTTTGGGTCCTCTGAGCACTATTTCCTTGCATTGGGAGGGCAACTCGGACGTTGGACACTTTGCTGGCTGGTTGAACTGCAAGGAAACAGTGCTTAGAGGACTTGGGGTGACTTAACCGTTGTGGGTGCCTCGATGCTTAAGTTAGTACTCGTAGTGTGTGAGCTGAAAGCTTGAGTACAAGTAAGCTAGTGAGCAATTAACCGCACGTACCTTACATTGTTGGGGTTGGTGCCCTTATATAGGTGAGCTTCCGTATGCCTTATGAAATGCCTTCGAGATCCCCGGTCAGTGCAAATAGGAATCTGTTTCGTTCCAAGAGGTGGACTTCGTGTGAGTTGATAAGGCTTATCAAGTCTGTCCGATCCGGGTAGGATGAAGATAAGGCTTGCGATGTGCGGCATGATCCCGAAGAGGTCAGAGACACTTGGCTAGTTTCTAGAAGTTGTCTACGTGTCATCTCAGTAGGTCGGGCCTTTACGAGCTGCTCGGACCTCGGTCTGAGCTGAGGTGCCTGAGGTACCCGAGCTGGCCTGGCTTGTTGAGGTTGCAGAAGAAGCCAAATTGTCATCCAGTCAGTAGGTCGCTTCTACGTGTCCGGGTGTTGATAGGTTGGGCCAAATTACCCCTCATCAATTACCCCCACTCCCCTTGCCAGGGGTCCTAACCTGGTGTGGGAGTTCATGACGAGCCTGGGTGGATTTGGCCAGGTCTTTGTCCTGGTCAAGGTCCAGTCTAGGGGTTAGACCTTAATGACCCAATAGAAAGTGTTGTTGTTGCTCTAGGAAATGTCCTACTTGGCAACAACATTTATAAACAAAAAAAAAAACACTGTTTTCTTTGAAAATGGTACTTCCAACCCACACATTAGTAGCACCGTTTTATGAGAAAACGATGCTGTATTTATAGTATTGATGCCAAACATATACTTATTGAACATCTCTCGGTTGCACAATACAACAAGTTAACTCTAAAATCCTTTAGTCAGGGTTCCTATTTAAAGCAGTGTTGTTAACTAACTTCTACACAAATTTGAGTGTTTGGTATGGAAAATGATCCTAAAACCGATAATAAATCGCTCAATTTGGTCTCGAACTTGTTAGAAGAATGGGATGTCAGTGAGTAATGAAGAAAATTAGATGACACCTAAAAGATATTTATGTTTTTTTATATTTCACTTAATGACCGATTAACGATAAGTATTAAATTAACACAATTTTAGGTACTTGATTGACATATTTTGAAGTTTGGGCACCAAACCACCAAAGTGATACTGTGAGCCTCCGTTTCATTTTGTCATGTACCTAAGGTCGCTCGCAAGTTAAATTTTAATACATTAGGAACCTGCTCATGTACTTTTGTTTTTCTTTTAAATTCTCTTCGACAAATACTATCATTTAGTTATTAAAAAAAGAGAGAATGACGGGACGGTTGAGTGGAAATCAGAAATAACTATATAAATTCTCGATCAAAGCCTCGAAGACAAACTAAGAATAGTACGTTATTAAGGTCAACCCAATTTGAAACCTTAGAAGAAAAAACAAAAAAGAAGAGTTGCAGTTTGTTTTATTCCTTAACAGATTCTTTCGTACCTCTGGGTTCTTTTACCTTTACCTTGTCCTCCTATGCCCAATGTAATGCTTTCGTCGTCATCTCTTTCGACTGAATAGATTATTATATTTTAATTTGTCTCCAGTTTGTTTTGATTTTTGAACTGAGATGCCTTCATTGTATCCCTGTAGCAGGGTCTCATTATTCACTCGGAATTTCCACTCACTTTTCCTATCCACTCTTTATCCGCCCTGAATTATTGTGTCAAAGAAATCAATCAGCAATTTTTGTTTGGAGAAATACATTGTAGCTCATTATAGAATTCTAAAATTATAATTTCTCATAATATATTAATAGCCCTTCTTATAAATCACATGAATTTGGCATCAATCCACAGTTAAGATTCATCCTATCGTACAGGTGGGATTAAGAATTTTGAGGTGGACTGAACAGTTATTCTCCCATTTTTGTTTAGTTACGATTTAAGGGGGGAGACAAATTGCCGAGTCTAGCAAAGAAAGTTTTTTTTTTTTTTTTTTGAAATTAAATATAATAGTTTTAAATAAAAAATAAAGAAAACAAAAAAAGAAAGAATTTTTGAAAGAATTATGGTTATGAAGATCACATGTGCAAACCCTCCAGAGCACAAAGCACAAAGTTCGGGTGGAAGTACAGGCACCCCTATGCAACTGTGTGGTGAGAGACCTGAAAATAGTGCAGTAGAAGATGCTCCAAAGGACACAACCTTGTACAAGGGTCTTAAATTCAAGGAATAAGGAAGTCTGTCAGTCTATAAAAGAATGAATCAGCAGTTGAACTGATGTTTGAGGCTGTACTTTTGAGGGTTGTGACACTTGTTCACTTTCACTTGAGGGCTTGCTTCAACTTTCAATTGCAATGATAAGTATCTCGAACATTCAAAGATATTCAGATCCTGCATGTTAAACGATGTTACTAAACAGGAAAAGTACCGGCTCTAATGCGGATTTCTGAATTCCACTGTAAATGGCATGGCACTTACCCCAAATGTAGCTGACCCTAGACTAAACCGTCATTCTCCCTAATTAAATTGCCCATCTTAAATTCTTTTATTTTTTATTTTTTATTTGTTTTGCTTTCATGGGGCAATTGTATGAGTGGGAGGTTATATACTTGTATTTCCTATTTACAAAATAAAAGGAGTAGCAAATTCTTGGTTTTCAGCAAAAGCCAGGGACAAGAGACCAAGGAAGAATAGCTTTATCTTGAAGCGCCTGTAACACCAGGAGGGAGTCCGAGCAAATTAAATCAGAATATATCCTGACGAAGAAATTCTTTGCAAAATGGACTCCTTGGAATGTTGCCAAAAGTTCAACCTCCTCTACAGCTTTCACCCACCAACCTAGACAAGGAGTTAGACGAACAAATGGCCCCAAAGGAACGAACACTCACAGATAAAGATCCTCCATCAATAAACAAAATAAGTTGGATATGTGGTTCTAAGTGTAGATTAAATTTAAGCTAAACAAATTATTTACTTTCATTAAGATCCAATGCACCTTCAAACAATTTTCATTGTGAGCATACCAGACCGGTTAATTGTCCGATTCAGTTTTTAAAACATTATTCATCATGGTTAAAGTGAGCTTGTAATAAGAGCATACAGATACCTTAGATTAGTATTTACCGGTTGAGAGATCATTTAGATACCTTAGATTAGCCCACTTCATGAAATAGATCCTGAAACATAGACACAACAGCCTTCCAAAGGGTCAAGCTAGAATGCTTGATAGAATAGGGGAAATAACCTTCACTTTTCAGGTATTTTGATTTTCATATATGGGCCCAAACACACCATTTGAAGGGGTTGGGGTTTGCCTTCGACTTT